CACCTGGCTTCCCACCTGAGACGCTGACGCTGTTGGAAACAGCTTTCATTATAAGGAAAGCAGGGGAGGGAGGGCGCAGGTGGAAGCAGCTGCTCAGGACTGACTGGAAGAACCCGCGCAGTGTCCGACCACACCCACAGCACCCCGGGACTGGCCCAGGCGGGCCCCCAGCCTGACTCCAGCAACTCGGGACTCTCAAGTGGGTGGCCAAAGCCTTGGACGAGCCACCTCTTATCCCGCGATCTAGTGCTCAAGGAAGTCAAAACCAGTCTGTGACTTCAAGGCATTGAATGTTCTAAAATTGAACGCGCTGTCCTCTGCTCACTGGGAACAGACTAACTTGGAACCAACTGTCTGCTATCCCCACTACTTGAAAACTTAATATTTAAACCACCAAATCACAAAGCACTCACTGTCCCTGTCAGCCCACCGTCCTCCCTGCAGGGCACAAAGACGACCCTCCTCCCTCAGCCCACGTCCCTCCTGCTGCCCAGCGGGCCTGGGAGCACTGTAGCAGCTCAGCTGGCTCTTGCAGCACAGGCTGTGGAGGGTGCCCAGCTTCCCCCGCAGGCGGCATGCCCGGCTTCACCCCAACTTGTGCTCCCTGGGCCCTCTGCACGCCCCCAAAGTAATGCTTTGATCCTGAGAACAGGCCGGCCACCAGTCAGCCACCCCTCCCAGCGCCTGCCCTGACGCCCCGCAGGTGCTCCGACACTCTGACTGACTGGGAGAGCTCCTTCTGTGGCAAGGTGACCCGGAGCATCAGGGTCTCCCAAAGACTCCAGGCAGCCCAGTCGACGAAGCCTGCGGCCCAGACACTTGTCCAGGTGCATCTTTCGACTCTACTCCAAACCAAAATGACGGGCGATCCTTAATTTAGGACAAGAACAAAGAGACGCGGCAACCGCACACCTTCGACACGTGGTTCAGCTCCAGCGTCTGCTCTGAAACGCGGGCCGAAGTGTGCGTGTTCTCACGGGCCGAGTCACCTCAGACTCCCGGCGCCGGCGCCGCCCCCTCCACCGCAGGCCAGGTGCGCTCTCCTGCCCACGTGCCCGTGGCCCCAGGCCGGCCCCTCAGGGAGCAGGGCGGGAACCAGGGGAGCTCACTGGACTTCTGCATTTGTTAGGTCACATTTTTGTTGTTTACCTCAATTTCAGTAAAGCTGAAATGCTGAGGCTCTTGGAGACCCTTGATACAAACCCGGCACTTCCTAACTCAGAGACAGGAACCCAAACGGAACCGGCTTTTAAAGTCAGGCTGACACGTGAAGAGAGAAACCTTGGTTCTGACGACGGTTTTCTCTAAAGAGGGAGTGTGAGCACTTTCACCCACTTTGTCTGATTCCCTGGTTCTGTAACGAGCACACGCTGCTCTGTAGAAGAGAAAAGAATTCGTTTCGGGGGTGAGGGCAAAACCACGCCTTGAACTCTCCAGACAGTAAGTGCCTGCTCCTGTCCAGGTGAAACCAGGGCTCTCTGCGGCAGGTCCTGGCACACGCATAAGTTCACTAGTGAGAGCGTGACGAAACTCGTGACCCTTAACCACAATGTGTCAGATGGCACGAAGTGTTTTACATCACAGATACCCGGGGAAAAAAACAGAAAAGGCTAACGTTCAAGATAGTAGAGGTGATTCTTTCTTTTAATAAAAATATCCTGGTACGTCTGTCACCTACTGGACTTAACACAATTTTACCTCCACATGACTCGCTCTCAAATACGAAGGCAGTCCGGGTACCAACAGGCGCCTCTCCAAGCGCGCTCGCGAGCAGACGTGCACGTGCACCCTGATTCCATCAGCTCGATGCTGTACTTCCTCCCCAACCAGGCCCTGTTACAAGTGTGTCACTTCCTCAAAGCTCAGGAAGCACCGGTGTGGGGTGTCTGCTCCCCTAGACCCGCTCCCCCCTCGGCACTCGAGGCCCCCGGTGTGAAACTGCCCCAGTCACTGAGCTCGCATTCCCAGCAGGAGCGCCTTCAGCAGGTCTGCAACAAGACAAGCAGGCAGAGGAGGGGACACGTCCAGGCGCAGGAGCAGACACAGCTGGATGAGGACCGGCCAGGGGACCGGGCAAGAGCGAGGCGGGGCCAGCCCACAGCAGGCGCTGACAGGGCCAGTGCCCGCCACTGAAGCCCCTCTAGGCCGGAGAGCCCTACGCTGGCCGGCAACCAGCACCACCAAGGACGTGGTCAGGAAAACCAGACAGACTGTCACACGACAGGAAGGCAGCCGGCGCCTCACTCCACACGGCTCCAGCCAGCCCCACTCCGGTCCCCGCCCCAGGGTCTTCCTACCCGGCCATGCTCCTTTACTTCCCACCAGATTACTCCAACAATCCCAGAAGGTTCCCAAGCTGCGGGAAGGAGCAGGGTGAGGAAGAGCATTCTGCTGTGTCAAAGCCAGCAAGCCACGCCTGGGCACTCTCGGCCCCGGAGCCCGGTGACCAGTCAGAGTCCGGCTGACCGAGGACTGGTGTAGGCAGCAGGGACGCCGAACATCCTTCCAGGGCTGGCTGACCCCCAGGGGCCCCAAGAACAGGGACCGCACGAGGCAGCGCCCTAGTGGCCATTAGGAAGCGTTGCAAACAGCAGGCGCTGGGGCGCCCCATCCGGCCAGTGGGGCCCCCCCTCCCTGGCGCCCCCGGACCCACTTACCTCTGAGGGGGGATGTAGGGCGCGCACACAGGCGGCAAGGCCGCACAAGGCTCACTCAGCGTCTTCTTAGCCTTCTTCGCTTTCTTCCTGACTTTGGACGTGGACCTGACCGTTTTGACTGAGCCCTCTTTTCGACACACACCATTTTTCATTTCGACATCCCCATAAATGTTCAGAGGCCTCCGGGTGCAGCCCGGGGGCGTGTGGACGTCACAGTACGCAGTCTTTCTGACGGAGAAGGTGGCGGCGCCGCCGGCCAGCTCCCTCACGGGCTCCATCTTCATGTAGAGGCCGGCCCTCTGGGCACACGTGACGTGGAAGGCCGTGTAGCAGTTGGCCTTGTGGCACTGGATGCAGGCGCCCACGCCCTTCTGCTTGCAGAGGTAGCAGGTCAGCTTCCAGCGGGCGGGCGGGATGTTCCTGACCCCGTCGATGGGCTCGATGAACACCGTGTTGGCGAAGCCCACCTCCGGGATCCACAGGGCGCACACCACGTGGCCCCAGCGGTCATCGTCCGTCTTTTTGAAGGCACCTCCCTTGTTGGGGCAGAGCACGCAGTCAGCGGGCCGGGCCCGGGACTGCAGGCAATGTCGGCACAGCCACTGGCCCTCAGGGATGTAGGGCACGCCGTAGCACTCCTGGTGCACGGCCAGGTTGCACATGTCGCAGAAGAGGATGACGTTGCTGTTCTGGCACTCGCCGTCCATGCAGATGCAGCACACGGCGTCCTCGTCGATCAGCGACTGCTGCTCGCCCTGCTTCTGGTTCTCGCAGTACGACTCCTTCTCGAAGCGGTCCATCAGGAACTCGAACACGCTCTGCGACACGGCCGACACGCAGTCGCCCTTCCGCCGCTCGTTGATGATCTCCAGCCAGGCATAGTCCTCCTCGTCCATGTCGTACTCCACCTCGTTGTCCAGCTCCTCCGCCGACTTCTCGATGAACTTGTAGTACACGGGGGGCCTCCTGGGGGCGGACGGGGGGCTGTACTCCACCAGCCGCACCTTGGGCTCCGGAAGCGCACTGGCCGAGGCCGGTGTGCCGTGCGCGCTGGGGACGGCCTCATTTTTCTTTCTGACTCGGTTGTTTTTGTGGCGCTTAGTTCTCAGGCACACAGGCGGCCTCTCACTGTTCTCTTTATTGCTGTTGCATTCGCTCATTTCTTGAGCGGTGAGGTCATCTTCCAGTATGATCTCCAGGGGGTCGAAAATGCTGATCCTGTGCAGGCGCCCCTCGATCTCGATCTCCACCATCCTCTGCGCCTGCGCGTAGGTCAGGGTCTCCCGCGCCGGGGGGTGCTTAGTGCTGCACGGGGAGGAAGGGTGCCTCGCTGCAGCGCCTCGATGGCATCGTCCTTTCCTCCTCATTTGGTACTGGCTCCCTGGGACAGAGACAGAAACCAAGTTAGCTCGAGGAAGCCGCCACGCACACTACATCAGAACTTGCAGCTCACGGGCTTGGAGGGTCCCCAAATCCCTCATCCCAGGACAGCCCGTCCCCACCGGGGCCTCCCAGGACCAGAGGAGAGGACAGGTGGTGAGGAGTTACCCTCCAAGACACTGCAATTCCCACTGCTTGCCAGCCATCTTCCCAGACCAAGCCGACCTGTCACCAAAATGACTGCAGAGTCCCTCGAGAGCAAGGGTCCCAGCCCCGGGCCAAGGAAGGCCACCCACGCACAGGGCTAGACTCCAGAAGGCATGGCGGTTGTGACTGTGAGGCAAGGGTGCTCAGCAGCTCTCTGCTCCTGACCAATGCTCCCAGGATGCACCCTGCCCTTCCCTGCTCTTCCTCACCCCCGTGCCCTGGTCCTGGCAGCGCCCACGCTGGGGAGCGGAGGGCAGCAGAGCCCTTGGTGGTCTGACCACACGCAGTCTGTCCTTCTCCGTGAGCATGCCCTCCACACCTGTGTTGAGGCACAGGGCCACCAATCACACTAGGACCCAAGAGGGGAACCCCATACTTGCCCCCGGGAGGCCCCAACTCAGCCTCTGTAGGGTCTCAGCAGTGACCACCATGGAACCCGCCCCGCCATGGGCCAGTCGACCTGCCCCTTCCCCCAGGGGGATTTCTCAGCTGTTGGCTTGATTGTGGTGCCCGGCCAGGCCCTCGTCCTTCTCAAGTACACAGGACATGCAAGGCACCATAGATGGCACCTGCGCTCCCACTTCGCAGCGAGGGCCACCTCCGAGAACCCCACGCCCCCTGTAGGGCCACCACCATGGTTTGCCAGCACTGGCTCAGGTGCCTGAAATCTTGACCAGAGATTTATAATTTGCTCTTTGCAGACCACACTGCCTCTGACTGTCACTGAGTGAGCCCACTTTCACGTGAAGCCCCTGACTGTGGACCTCCACCTGCCAAACAGGAACTGACAAGGACCTCTCCCAGACCTCTCAGACTCCTCCCTGCTAGCAACCACATTTCACTGATTTTTAAGAGACTGGCTTACAAACATTCCAAGCTGGAGCCCAAAGCCTGCTGCGCAAGGCCCAGGGGAAGCCTCGGGCACCCGCGGGAACCGGAATGTCAGCCTCACGGCCACCTAACTGGTCCCTGGGAAAGGCCCTCGAAGGGCAGGCTTCACTTCGTAAGCCCTGAAAGGAAATCTCAGCAGACCCTAAATGCACTTTTTAAAACACACCCATCAGATTGTGGCTTTCTTTTATCATATGGAAATCTGTTTTTTGAAATCTGAGAGGAATTCCTTGCAAAAAGGAGCACGGCCATGCTCGGCCAAATCCCAACTCACCTGCACCTCAGAGGCCTCCCGGTGAACCCAAGAACCCAGGAATCCTGGACTCCTCAGGAGCTGTCAGCAAAGCCACCACCCCATGGCCAAGAACCTGCAAGCCCTTCTGCAGGGAGCTGGGCATGTCCCGCAGGTGTCCGCGCCACAGCCTGCACAGAGGGGACCGGGAGGGGACCCTGCTGCACCAGGGAGAACTCCACGTGTCATTACTGAGGTGGGGCCAAAGCAACAGCTGCTTACTCGCCAGATGCAAAGCAAACATGTAATTTTCTCTCCCCAGCAGAGCCCCGAGAAGCACTAACACCAACCAGCCCTTCACGCCCACTGTCCCGATGGGCACTAAGGCTGCACCTGACCACTTTCCACAAGAAGTTCACGGACACCTATGGTCACAACAGCTCTAACTTGCAATGCACTTGTGACCTGGAAGAAGGCATCCAGCAGCACTGCCTGGCATAGCGACCTGCCACCTCGCCTGCCTGTCACCTCCCTACGCCCACAGGCTCTGTCTCTGGCCCTCTGGCTCCACCCACTCTTGGCGCTTTTGTGCAGGGACAAGCATTTCCACATAAGGGGACCAGCAAGAAAAATTTAACAAGTGTCTCCAGAAATTATTCTGCTAAACGCATCCTGAAAAGCCACGTGAGCCCGGAGAGGACAACTCCACACTGACGAGCGGCTCCGGCTGTCAAATCACTTCATTTCCTGCCTGGCTTGGGACGAGTCATTTGAGCGTCCAGCCTCTGCTCCCTGTACCGTGTAGTGTGTGCATAGGGGACAGTCCGGGGCGCACTGGCCGCACGCGGCCCAACGGGACACAGCGCTCGGGTCGCTGCCTCGCAGAACAGGTGCGAGGCCACGTAAGTAAACACACCCTAACTCTATAAACCCTGTCTTCCGTGATGGCCCAGGCAAGGGCGAGCTCTGCGGGGTGACGGGAACGTCGTCGAGGGGGGTGGCTTCCTGGGCGTAGAGACGTTTGTCGGAACTCACACCAGCCGCACTTTCTGTGAACTGTACCTCAATAAAGCTACTTCTTTAAAACGGGCCGGCAGGGCCGGGGCACAAGTCCATTTCAAGGTGTTTACTGCCAACACTGCCCGGAAGCGGGAGGGACGCCTCCCAGGGCCTCCGGCCGCCCGCCGCCCTGTCCCCGACTCCCCGGTCTCCAGGAAGCCTTTAGAGTCGGCCCTGCGGACGGGGCCCGTCCCGGCAACACCACCCAGGCTATCTGTTACATAATGC